TATAACAAGCTTTGCTTGTGTAAAAACTTGTTTGGAAAATTTTGACCCAATTGCGTTTTTTGGCGCGCGCTCCCCTCTCATAATAACTGATTATTGGCGTCAACCCCGACCTTAGAAAAAACCAAGGTCAGCCAAAAATTTATGTCGCAAAAACGACAACTCGTCCCCACCTAAATTCCCTACTGGCTTCAGGTGTGGTTTGATTTTTTTCTACGCTAAATCAAAAACCAAAAAAAGATTGAGACGTTTTAATCTTGCAATGGGACTGACACGTATTGAGAGCTTGTCAGTGCAGTGGCAGAAACTGTTTATGAAAATACCTGGGGGCTTTCGGCGCGAAATGCCGACCGCGAAGCCGGTGGGAAAAGTTTTGTTCCCAGTTGTTGCGGAGCGCACAAAGATACGTCGTATAGTTCGCCGAATGATTTAACATATTTAAGTCCGTTTGGTAGTGATTCGGTCGATAGACATTTTTTTCATATCGTTTTTTAGGGTTTTCAAATAATCTTGCAGCAGTGTTGATGAATTCGCAGTTATACCACAGGAATGTTTACATTTTAAAATCTTTAATTAAACTCTTAATTGATGTTTATTGAAACTAAGTTAGTGCCTCGGTCCGCAATAAAAACGTTAACAATTGAGGAAAAAAATGTTTCAATGATGAATTTCTTTAAACGGTTGCTTTACTTTCTTAGACCGGTCTAAATTTGACTTTGTCTGGATTAATAATTAAAATTATTTCCACTGAAGTATTTCGCTTTTTGTCTAATTAATTTAGAGTACCTGAATTTAACATAAAATCAACTGAGTAGAATATTTTGAGTAAAATAGTTATCTTCGAATTGGTGCGTTCCATACTGACATCTTTGAAAAAAACACTCAATGTTCATAATAAATTATAACCATTAAAAACCTTTTAAGTAAAGTTTTACAGACTTGATGTCCTTTTTAGTCTGGCAGTTAAAACACTGAGATGCAAATATTTGAGACAGGGGCGGATTTAGGGGGGACACCCCCCCCCTCAGGGATTCGACTACCCCCAGCCTTTGGTAGGTACTTTTTAAGAAATCCAATTTTGGTCGACCGACCCTAAAATTTTTCTAAAGGCGCCTTTGGCGCCAATATATACTAATTTTGAAGGGGGAGCGCGCGCCGAAAAAACGCGATTTTTTGGTCAAAATTTTCCAAAAAGTGCCTAAAAAAGCCTTTTTTGGATTGTTTTTTTTTTTCAAAATTTTGCCTGCGGAAAATTTGGCCAAAAAAGAGGGAGTAAACCGTGCTCAGGGAGAGCTCGAAAAATCTATTCGGTCGACGGTCGACCTAAAAAAAAGGTCGACAAAATTAATTTCGAAATTTTTTTGAAAATCCCCCCTCGAGAAAATCCTAGATCCGCCCCTGATTTGAGATGCAAGTCTTTCACAAAATTGAAGATGCAAAAGAGTATTTGAAAAACCATTTTTTCAATTTAATTTAAATCTTTTTTGATTTAAAATGCTACCTTACAAATGTTAACCAAAATTTGTGGAACCAATTCAGTTAGTCGCAAAAATTATGCGTAAAATGAAGTATACATTGATGAACTGTTTCGTAGATTTTAAATGGCGTCTTCGCGTTTAGCTAATCAAGCGCTCTCCCGAGCAAAATCCTGTTGTATTTGTAAAAATTAATGTCAGATATCGGCTCAACTGAAGATAAGAAGATAAACATGTTGTTCATTATTACATAGTCTCACCCTAAGCAGCTTATCTGCACTTTTGAGGCCACAAATCCAACTGAATTGGTTAATTATCCACCCCTCTTTTTGGATTTGGCAAAAGATTTGCAATATTGTAAATTAAGGTCAATCCCGTTTCCCTTGTTTAATTTAGCATATGCAATTTTAACGAGTGGAATAGTTGATGATTAGAACCTTCAAATCAGGAGCGGATCTAGGATTTTCTCGAGGGTGAAGGAGAGATTTTTGCGAGGATTTTCAAAAGTTTATCGAAAATTTAGTCTTTCTTTTTTGAGCTCTACCCAAACATTATCACGACCATATTTTGACGATTTCTTTCATGCTGCAAATAAATGTTTTTTTTTAAAAAAAAAACAGACCACATAGGAGGTTTTTAGTTAATTTTTCAAAGGTAGTTTCCAAACAATTGCGTTTTTCGGCGCTGGTTTTTCGCTCAAATTTATAACATATTGGCGACAAACTAGCCTTTAGAAAAAAATACACAAAAAAGGCTTCAGTGTCGGTCAGTCAAAAATGTGAATTTATAAAATAGTACCGAACGGGGCACTTTGGGTGGTCTGGGTCAAATCCCCATAGGGGAAGAGGGCGTCCCCCTTTAAATCCGCTCTTACTCGACGGTTTAATTAATTAAGCTTAATTGAGCTATGGCTTATGAACAAATCGGTATCCTGCAAATCATAACGCATTCCCGGGTTGAAATCCATACACCGAAAATGCTTATCATACAATTCCATACAACAAAACTCATTATCATACAATTCCATACATCAAGTGTATGGAGAAAATGCGTGCCATACAATTTCCATATGTGGAAATTGAATGACTGGCATTTTTTTGATGGCGACACAAAAATTTGAAAGTAATTTTGAAAATTCGACCCCAAAATTTTTTTTTGGTTTTTTTCCGACCGCAAATAGAACTTTATACGCAAATAGAACAAACAACTTCCGAAAACAAATTTTTTTCATACAAAAATGAATTTTTTGTGTGCATAACGTAGTCCCGGATACGATAATATTAGCTTTTTTTCTTTTCACTTGAATTTTTTTTTTCAAAAACGCAGAAAAACTTTATTTTATTTATTTGGCGTGTTTATGTATGCTTTGATCAATGTCTGTTAATTTGAAAATGAAACATTTAAAAAAATCATCATTGAAAAATTTTGCCAAAAACTAAAAGTTTGTTACTTTTGTTAAAACATTTGTGAAAGACAGCTCGAAGACAATTCAGGTAGTTTTTTATGCATTGTAAATGCAAGACCGTCAAACGTTTAGAAATGTATGGAATTGTATGAAAATAAATTTCCCATTTAACAGAATTGTATGATAATCATTTTTGGTCAACCCGGTTTACTGTTGCTGAGTTCAATTTCAAGAATATCAGGAATCAAGTATTTGAAAGAATAAAAATAAATGAGTAATCACTCTGTGCATAAGTTCATAATAAATGTGACGAGAGAATCCTTACAAACTTATTGTTTTGACTTTCGTAACGAAAGTAACGGAATATTTGTATTCGGGGTGGGTTTTTTTTTTCTTCAGACAAATTTCGACTTTTTAACTAGCCATTATTGACAAAAAATTTTTCATCATTCGAAATGTATTGTTGTCCTGAGCTTAAATTTGAAAAGATATTTCACCTGTGATCATTTTTCGAAAGGTTATGGGGGTTTAAAGATTGCCATTTTGACCAATTTGGGACAATTAACGCGCGATATATTTCGCGCTATTAACGCGTAAGCGGAGTTTAATCCGTCTTAGAAATCGTTCCAAATTGGTTGGCGGAAGCTTATTTGCCATAATAGATTTGTTAATGAGAGCAAAATTTATCACTTTGTACTTTATATGGCGTGTGAGGGGATGATTTTCATAAAAAATCTCATAACTCTAGAAAAAAAATTTTAATTTAAATTCATTAAAATTATTTTTTTTAAATGTTATTACTGCTCCATAGATCTTAAAAGGCCAACATAACATTCAGGACTTCGTCCTGATACCAGCAGTCTTGTTTACAATTGTGCCCAGGGAATTTTTCGGGATTTATTTACAGTTTTATTTAATAAATTGGGAGGAGGCTAATAGATGAAAAGGTCTGTTTTTATACGCCTCAAGCAAAAAACAACGAAACTGGCGTTATGGGTGGGAAGCAAGATATGTCGCTGCTCAAAAGCTTAGATTTTCTGATCGAATTACAGAAATCAACAGACAAACATTTTTTAAATAACAATTTAACTACATATATCTTTGGGCTTAAATTTTCATTACCTTAAAAAATCTGAAACCGCTTTTTTATCGAAGATAAAGCTTTCTACAAATTTGTATTCACATTTATTGATTTGGGTCTTTGCTGCTGTTTGACAAAAAGTCACCCTCAAAATTAAAATATATTGGCAACGAAGGGTCTTTTAGAAGAAATTTAGCGTCGATCAGCCAAATATGGATGTCTTAGGATAATAAAAAAGGGGGGACCCTTTGGGTCGGCAGGGGGTCGAATCCCTGAGGGCGGGGGGAGCGTCCCCCTACATCTTCTACTGCCATTAGGTACTCAGAACCAGTAGCGGATTTAGAGGGGTGGTGAACGCCCCTCCTCAGGGATTCGACCCCCTGCCGACCCAAAGGGTCCCCCTTTGTACTATTTTGAGATATCCGTTTTTGGTTGACTGACCTTAAGATATACTAACTTTGAGGGGGGAGCGCGCGCCAAAAAAACGCATTTTTTTTTTGGTCGAAATTTTCCAAAAAGTGCGTAAAAACGTCGTATTTTTAGCCCTTTTTCAAAAACTTGCCTACCGCGCAGAAAAATTGTCAAATTAGGGTCTTTAAAGTGGTTTGGGAGAGCTCAGATAATCAATTTGGTCATCAATTTTTTTTTTGATCAATCAGCTCAGATAATCAATTTTTTTTTGAAAATCCGCCCCCCTCGAGACATTCCTAGATCGATGCCTGCTCAGAACAGTCAAAAAGAAACTTTTAAGGGCTACTCACATGGCTTTAAGACTGAACAGCAAAAAAATCCAGCCAATGAAAAAGCTATAAATCAGGGTTGGATTTAAAAGCTATAAAGACACAAAAATGTCCATTTTCGAACAAATTAAGTGTTCAAGGTCGCGATTATTTGCCAATCTGGCAAATTTCTTATTTGGCAACGTTTATGTTTAATTTATTATGATAGTTTCATTTAGTAGCAGCATGTATGTTTAACCAAACGGATATTTTGAACCTACTTCTAAAAAATAATTAATGAAACTGTTCGGCCGGATACTTACATCTTGTTCAGTGTTTCCGAAGATACACTTGAGACAGTTTTTCTTCTGTTTCTTCTTCTTCTTCTTAGCCTCTTTGTTGCTCTTGTCTTCAGATGACTGATGCGGCTGGTAAGACACAACCGCGAACTCGATCAAAGTGGCGAATGTATACATGAAGTTCACTGTCAGGTACAAATCGGCCATCTTCAGATCGGACACTGAGGGGAACCTCTGTGCCATGCCTACTATCAGGGTGATTTGGGCCAGAATGGCTGTGATGGAGAGACCGGCTCTGGCTGGAATTGCTTTCGGGTCGATCCAGAAATTGACCCAGCTGAAACAGAAAAAAAAATTCTAAAGCCCTTATGGAAATTTGGCACTCATTAATTTTTTAAATCATGGAATAAATTTTAGTACTTGATAAGCAATATTATTCCCTAAATAGATATTTTCAGTCAAAATTTAAAAAATAATAATAATAATGTTAAGAAAAAATAGTTTTTTCCGAACTTGCTTTAACTTTTTAACAAAGATTCAAAGCAGGTTCTCCCACAATTCGAAAATACAGCACAAGCGTAGCAGGCAAACTAGCAGACATCAAATGAGGCGGAAGCCACTTAGTTTTAAAAAAAGGAAACAAATGACGAAAAAGTTAGATCTAACAAAATTTTTGTTTGTTTCGATTTGTTTTAAGCAAAACTCATTGAAGGAAAAACATGCCAAATAAGACAATTAAAAGTTAGTTTAGCATCAAAACAACGAACAAAAATTATTAACGACAAAAAATTCTTACAACCGTTTGCAATGCACCGGTTATCGCAATGTCTGAATTTTAATTATCCTTTCAGTTCAAAATTCTCTTTTATGTTAGATGGAAATATACCAACTGCGATGTGTTAAAATTTTGTTTGTTTGTTTATACTTCTATTTCTATTTTTTCGACTTAAAAAGTTTTGACTTACATTAAATTGGCTTAGTGGCCTCATATAGTGTCGTTTGAGAGCGGAGCTATGAAAATTTATTTTTTTTGGGGGTCAGCGGGCATGCTTCTTACACCCGTTTGCAATGCCCTGGTTTATCGCAAAGGTAAACACCAAAAGGTTTATCGCAAAGGTAAACACCAGTTACTAGTTCAAGAAACCTTACTCATTGCGTAAAATTATACTAACAATCTTCACAGCAATGATAATGATCACTGCTTGGCGCCTGAAATCATTTATTTTTTATTAAAAAAATTTCGGATTTAATATTTTGTATTTCGGATGTCATTTATTGCAACTCAAACCAGAGGCGAAAATGCTTCAAAGAAATATATCACTCGATCATATCTGATGTTTATCTTAGTTGCCTAATTTTATCTGAAAAAACCCATCCAATTTCAACTTCTTCCTTTGTGATAGTCCCCCAAAAATTAGATGTCTAATGTCTGAATCTTGAAACAAGAATTTTGTCGTTAAAAAAAGTTTATGGCTCATCGGAACCTTAAATTTTAATTTATAGGAGCCAACAAGAAACAAGTTCTCCTCGTTGTGCCTGACTCAGCTCACTGGCTTTCTTATTTATCTTGATAAATTTGATTCATTCTGTGAGCCCTCAACTGATGAACTCAACCACCAATTTCTGATCGCAGGAAAAAAATGAACAATGTTTGTGGAATATTCGCGCGATATGATGAACAGAAGATAAAAACAATGAATTTTTTTTCGGCCTAAAGCAATGTAAAGCAATGAAATTTATTTAACTTAATATTTTGTGAGATCACTAACATCGCAGACATTTACGTCAACTTAAATTAATGCCAAAATAAAAACTTTTAATAAAGACTAGAAAACTGTTCAAGACCTGATTCATTGCAAAATCATGAGCAATTGAAATGCATAATTGCAGCATAGTACGGACCAGTAAGCATAACTGTGTCAGAGTGAAGCCATGTAAGTTCGGTTTCATGACAAATTATCCCTACCTTTTTGTCCCACGCGAAGGTATCCCACTCAAACATAACCCAAAGGTTAGAATATCTCACGGCAAAGTAGCCCACGCAAATTGAAATATCCCATCTGAGGAGTCGAAACAATTAAATTATTGCAATAGGTTAACCAAAAGAATTCAAACGAAGATGCACAATTGAACAATTTGAATTGTTGTTTTTCGAGAGAAAAGGCACATTTGTGAAAAAAAAGAGAAGATCAATTGGATTTTTCACAAAATGTTCTGATTTCACAAAATTCTCTGAGATCGAAAACAAAAATATAATTTACTTGCGATCGTTTTAAAAAAGTAATTAGTTATTGAAAGAGCAAAAACGACATGAAAAGCATGAAGGAGCAATCGGAACTTTCAAGGCTTAATCTGACACCGAGCAATCTTGTTAATTTTAAACTTAGATGATAGAAATTTTCAGCAGAAGAATATTCTCATTAGAAACCAAATCAAGTCCAAAATGACTCGGCTACGTTTTTCTAGGAAACTTGACAGAAAACAAAAACAACTCCAGTAAACACTTAACTTTTGTACACCATTCATCACGTTTCGCGTTCATTTCAACTCACAAAACTCTTGGATGCTATCTTAAAGTTTGTGGTTCTCATGTTAAATTTGCATGATTTTTCATTATGCACAAAAATTTAATTTGCTGACGTTTGCTTTTTCCCTAGTTTATGAAGAAGTAACCTTTCAGAATTTGTATCGATTTTTAATTAAGCAGTCTGTGGAATTGCGTTTTGTAATTTGAAAACAATTTTAAATCTCAAAATTCTTGAAAAGTCTCATCCAAATAAATTCTAGGCGAAACATGCACAAGAAAAAAACTTTGTTTTATAGTCATGAATAAACCAAATAGATGTTTGCCCCTCAGAAGTAACAGGTAAGCAAATTTGCATTATCTGAGCATATTTACAAAAAATTTGAAATTTGAAAGTTTTTGCATGCTCAGGAAACTTCTCTTACAGATTTGAAAAAAAAATGACATATGCCTAGATTTATTGTTCGAACTCTTTCTGATCATGCTTAAGTTTTTAATATTTTGAACGTCTTACTATGCAGACGTCTTTTCTGTCTGAATTTGTTTTGAAAATGAAAATTTTGGCAGATTTTGGCTCCGAGCTTTTATCAAGCAGTCTGTAAAATGGCTCTGATGGTTTACTTAAATAAGTATCTGCAGACAAGTTTTTAATTGTAGTAAACTAATTGCTCTTTGTTTTCTCATGATATTATGCTTTATGTAATTAAAACATCAAGTTAAGATATGGCATATGTAATAGACATATTATGGCAATAATAGCTTTGTTTTCTGATGAACTAAAATAAACATTTACGGGCATGATCTTAAATCAAAAACTGAAACTGACGCAAAACAATTAAAACGTACCATGATTCTAAAATGCAAATGGTCGTCCTAATCGCCACTGAAATTGCTTTAAATGTTTTTTTTTCATCAACAGAGAATTCATTCTAGAGAAGTTATCGATCTCTTGAGATCAGCCCCCAACGTAAAAAAAGATCTACTAAACAATTTCCGCTCCCACTGTGTTAATTACTAAAGAATTCCCACCACTCTAAAAACATATATAAGGTACTTTTTAGTCGTCCAAACAAGGCAGCGTTTGTTGTTTTTTAAAGTTACCGTTCCGACTTTCGAAGAAAGTGAGGAATATATATAGTTGGGGTGACTTTTTTTATTTTCGGACCATTTTTTTTGGCTCACTTGGGGATCAATCCCTGAACTTACGTGCTCAGATACGAGCTTTCTAGTTTTTGAGCAAAATCGCTCAATTATCTTCTCAAGAATTTCCTCCCTTTTAAAAAAAAATGGGAGATTGTTTGGTAGATCCAATAAAAGTGACTACTGTTTTATACTCGAAAATTAGTAACAAAAATCCATCTACAACAAATAAAATTTCATTTACTTTGATTTCAATCTGAAGTTTGATTTCATTTGGTAGCTTATGCAAATCGATTGGAATTAGCCGATTAGAAAAAACTGAAAATGAGAACATTGTAATGATCAAAGAACCCAATTTCTCAAGAGGCCAAGTGTTTCTTTGAAATGTGTTGAGAACACGAACATCGTTATAGGGAGCAAAAATTGATTTCCTTTAAGAAGTTTTTGCAAGATAACTCTCATCTTATCAAGTTCTCATTAAGTTCCTAATCGAACATGGAGCTTCTTACGATCCCCGTAAAATGGCCCGCAAGAACCATTAACATGAAAATGAATTGGGCGTGTTCAAATTGATTATCGATTTTCCAACGTCTACAAACATGTATTTGGAATTTATTTACATAATCCAAAAATATAACAAAATGGGTGTAATTGTGCTGGGTGTAATATAACAAAGTGGGTGTCATATATATGTATATATTGGTTGTAAGCAAGCCCAAATTTATATAAGCGACTATATAATCTAGCTTTCCTTTTAGAATGATCTACACCCTTTCTCACTATACAAGAATTCTTCTTCCACTTTGATACTAACTTTCAGTACCTTAGGGAGTGATAAAAACTAGAATTTGATAGGAAACGCTCAAAATTTTCAATCAAAATCTAAAAATTAATTTAAAAAATGTGCATTTTGGGGCTAAGAGAAATTTAAAGCTCCTCTCGCTATCTCAAATAAACATTCGGAACCGTCCCTAAATTTACTTCATGAAAATTCTATATAAATTACCTGACTTTCCGACAAACCCATTATTGAGGTTTTCTCCCGAAGCCAGGGCGAAACTTGTCTACCATGTGCCCACAAGCCTCTCAAATCGCATTACAGATAGGTATCTGGTGTACATAGCCAGGAACAAAGATAACACATTACTCTTTGCTAAGGCAAGATCAGATACTGACTGACACAAACTTGATACAGAATAAAAATTCGCAACAAAAACAACTCGCAAAAAAGACAACTCGCAGTAAAATACAAGTCACATTAGAAAAACCAATCGCAATACTCACCACCGCAGTCGCGCAAATTTGTTGCGAGCTTGCCAACAGAGGGTAGGCCCTAATACAAATATTAGAGCTGGATATTGGCGCAAAGCGGCGACACGTGTAGCGTGCCCACCGGCGACTTTAAACCGAATTTCTTCAGCTATAAACCTATCTACACGCTTCGCTTTCCTTTCGTATCTACAAGCTTTGCGAGTTGTCTTTTGTTACGATTTGTCGTTTATTGAAGTTGTCACGGTACCCCGTCAAAATAGTAAAAAGGGGGAACTCTTTGGGTCATAAAGTGGTCGAATTACTAAATCCGCTACTGATTTACTAGATTATCTAGCTTTCGGATCGATACTCATACCCAGTCAACTTTTATCACAATGTTCTGAATAAAAAAACCACCCCAA